TTTTAAGGTCAGGCTTGACAAAGCCCTGGCTGGGATGATTTAGTTGGGGATTGGTCCTGCTTTGAGCAGGGGGTTGGACTAGATGACCTCCTGAGGTCCCTTCCAACCCTGGTATTCTATGATTCTATGATTTCAGCAAAAGAGAAAAATGTTCATTTGTGGCAAACGTTCTGTGAAAAAAAAATTTTTTTTTGGTCTTTTTATTGAAAACTGATTTGTTTAATCTCTAAATTTTCAGTTTGTCGACCCCTTCCGTCTCCAATTTTTGATAAAAACAGGTTTTTTCGCTCAAATTTCCATTTGATCAAAACGCTGTTTTCTGCTTCAAAATGCCTCGCTGTAAATTTCCCCGGCAGCCCTAGCTGCAGGCGATGGACTTGGAGAACTGGCCCCAGAGTGTAGTCTGGCAAAGCCCCCTGTGCGTGCTCCCCACTCACCTGTCCGGCTTCCCACGCTGTGCAGAAAGTGCAGGGCATCCTTTTTCCATGTCGTTGTCCATGCCAGCCACCATGTTCATCTCCATCTTCTTTCCCTTTTGGGCAGGTACATGACAGTGTTCCTGGGCCCCTATGGGGTCTGGGAGGGAAACAAGCCATGTCGGGATGGGTGGAGCGCAGGGCCAGCTCTAGGCACCAGCGTTCCAGGCATGTGCTTGGGGCAGCCCTTTGGAGGCAGCACTTTTTCAAGGGGCGGCACTCTGGCCTTTTTTTTGTCTTGGGGCGGCAAAAAACCTGGAGCCGGCCCTGGTGGAGCAGCAGCGCCATGTGAGGAAGGTTTGACCCCTGTGCTATCCTATGACATGCCACCACCTGACAGATCTTCGGGGTTAGAGTAAAGGTATGCAGGAGAGCACGAGGAAAGCAGAGGGAGAGCTCCCCGCACCTCTCCTCGGCATAAACAGCGCCCCCTCCCCCTCCTGGGCTAGGGCCGTGAGTGCTCCGTCCTGCCATTGCAATCTTCTCACAGCTGCACCTCGTGAATGAATTTGTACTTGGAGCAGGTGGCCTGCCACCAGGGTAGGGAGGAGGGTTGCAAAGGCCTTTGGGGAGATGAAAGAGGGGCTTGAGGTGAGCCCTGCACGCTGCTGCTTTCATGGAGACTGATTCTCACCACAACTCCCCATGTGCCCCTGGATCCACAGAGACCTTCCGCTGCTGCAGGTGTGTGTGTGTGTGTGTGTGTGTGTGTGTGTGTGTGTGTGT